GCGGCGCCTCCGGCCGCTCGGGGCCCGCGTCCTGCCCGAGGGCAGCGCTGGGAACCCCCTCCCGCCCGCCGGGGGGTCGCGGTGCCGTCCGCACCCCTCCCTGCTGCCGCTGCCCCCCCATTTCATACCAGTCACCTTTTGGGTCCATCCGCTGCAACACGGGCTAAGACAAAGGACAGACCTCTGCCAGGTACAAGGACACAGAACTGCTGCTCCAGGTTCTTTCAGCTAAGAGGTTTATTAAAGAACTTTTTTTTTTTTTTGTAAAAAAAAAACAAAAAAAGAATAAATATCCCCAAGGCAGCAGAGCATCCCTTGAGATTCCTCACAGGAGCTGACAGATGTGCACCCTGCCTTTGGCTCCCGTGGCCCTCAAGACTCCCAGCCCTCTCCCACCACAACGAGAGCAGTGGGAGCGAGCGCCATGTGGGGAGGGAAATGGGAACCAGTCCCAGCAGGGCTGCTGGCAGGGGCTGCTCAGGGAATGCCCGCAGCCCAGGGATGGCTTTCGAGTGGCACTGAACAGCTTGATGCCAACCACCGTTAACACTGCAAGGTGCCACAGCCCACAAGGGCCAAACAAAGCAACAACCTAATTCACAGCCGCAACTGCGCCAGAAACGGGGAGAACCTCGAGGAGATCCTCAGTCTAATGCTAGAACTGGTGGAAACCGGCAGTCGAGCTGTGACATCCTCCCRGAGGCTTCATGACAGCTTGGATAAGCCCAGGCGCTTGGTCGGAGCAGCCACGGCTCCTGGTGCCGCTCATCCCCAGCCTAGCGACGGCTGGAATCCCTAGTGGTACTCGGCTCCCTGCGCCGGGAGTGCGACTCTCTGGCACTGCTCTCCCGGTGGTCCCTGGATCTGGTTCCCTCGAGACGCTCCTCCCGCCTGCTGCTGTGCCCTTCTCCCTTTCTGCTGCTCTCGGCTCTCTCCTTCCGCGAGCTGCTTTGTCCCCGCTGCTCCTGGTAGCTCTTGTCTCCTCTTCTCTCCAGAGCTCTCTGGTGCCTCTGCTCTTCCTCTTCCCGCTGCGTCCTGCTCGCGTGTTTCTTCTCCGACCCATTCCAGGACTGCTGACTCACATTGGCATAGCGGTCATAGGCAGGATCCTCTTTCTCCTTTTTAATTTTGATTCTTGGCTGTGACTCCTCCGCAGACGCGGACCCCTTTGCAGCACGCTGGCTCTGCTTCTGCCGTTCTCGCCTGCTCCTCTCTTTATCTGAAATACAGGTTTATCTTTAGGGAGCGATAGTCCTGCACGTATTATCTCAGCTTCCCAAGCCATCTGACACCTCAGCATCTTTCAACCATCCTCCCATCTTTAGATATGATCAGTGATTTTTAGTTTTCCTCCCCTCCAAGTTTCACAGCCTCCTAACCCTCTAAAAGATGGTCTAGCCCATCAAGCACTTTCCTTATATTCTATTTTCTGAATAATACACGTGCAAGAATGYCCCTATCAACGCTGTGGAAAATTTCTTCTTCAGACTTAAGGCTTCTTTTTCTTCTTCGCTCTCCTTTACCTTTCTCATTTTGGGCCTCTCCAACTCTCTAGCTCCCAGGTTAGYTTTCTTCTATATTTTGGAATATATAGAATATATATTATATACTTAGAATATATTTTGAGACAAAAATTTAGTATAGGGACAAAGAGTCCAACACAGATACAGCCCAAAAGCTAAAGGGAAGCTTGCTCCGTGTGATGGCTCAGATATCACAAMTAACCCATGCCAGAATGGCTTAGCATGACTTGTGCTAAGATGAAGCAGAGCTTTTTTAGCCTTTCCTTTCCCTATCCCSAAGAGGGCCTCTGCTCCCTGGAATAATGCTACAGCCTGCAGCCTCTGAGAGGGTGCAAGTAAAACACTAAATATGATAGTCAGATATTGCCTAGGAGATCACAGACAACAAGATGGACTTTCAGACTGGGCCCTTCCCAAGAACAGGCCGCCCTTCCTTCTCCCACTGATGCTGTTCCCCTGTGCTCAAAAGCCTGGCAAAGCAGTGGGATTCACGTAGGCATTCCCAGCTGGAACACAGTGAACCTTTCTGCTTCTTTACTGGTGGGCTGTCATCTTCTGACGATGAATCGGATGATGTGTGAGGTGGCGTTTTAACTCCACAGCCCTTTTCACGGAGGGTTTTGGTGACTTCATCCAAGTCATCGGAGTCCTTGGGGGGTCGGTAGTTAGCCACATGGTCCACTCGGATGGTCCTGCCTTTGATCTATGGGAAGGAGCGTTGGGGTTAGCGCAGCCACAGCGCGGGGTACCGGAGAGCTACACAGTGACGGGCCACAACGTGATGCACCAGCGGCCACCTCGGCCCGTGCCTCCCTCCGCTGCGCTCACCTTGATGCCGTTAAAGTTGTCTACGGCAAGAATTGTGCTTCTCTGGTCCTCGTAACAGAGGAAGCAGAAGCCTTTGGACTTTCCCGTCTTCTTGTCCCGCACCAGGTTAATGTTCACCACCTCTCCATACCTGAAACACAGCGTGAGCAGCCCGGGCGGCTGCAGGGAGCGCACGGGGGGCCGGGGGGCACAGGCTCTCGCTCTGGGGAGCGCTGTGGGGCCAGGGCCCAGGCCACTTACTGCGAGAAGACGCAGATGATGTCGCCCTCGGTGAGCTCGTAGGGCAGCCCGCCTGCGGGGAGAGGCGTGTGGCGGCACCGGGCACGGCCCRGAGACCCCGGCAACCCGCACCGGAGCGGGCATGCGCATGAGCGGCAGGCCCGGCCGTCCCTGCCCCAAACCAGCCCCCGGGCCGAGCCGAACCGAACCGGGCCGGGCCGCACGTACCCACGAAGACCCAGGCGCTGTCCTTGTACTCGGCGTGCCACGACACCGCCTCCTGCACGCCCAGCTCCGCCTCCCGCGCGTTCAGCTCGTTGATCAGCTTCACCTTGGTCAGCGGGCTGGCAGCGACGGGCACCGTTAGCACCGGGGGGAGGGGGGAAACGGGGACACGCACCCACCCCCGCCCTCCGCGCGCTCCCCTCCAACCTACTTCATGGTGACGGCGGCGCGCTCCGCACTGCGCCTGCGCGCCGCCGCCTCCGCGCATGCGCGCCGCCCCGGCGCGGGGCGCCTGCATGCCGCCCCCGCGCATGCGCGCCGCGCCAAGCACCACCAGCGCCGCGCCAAGCACCACCAGCGCCGCTCGGAGCCACAGAGACTTTATTGGAAAGAGGGCGGCGGCGGCGGCGCCCGGCACGGGCGGGAGGCTCCACCGTGGGCCCCGCCGCTCAGCACGGGCACGAGGCTTTACCGTGCGCCTCGTGCGGCGGCTCCAGTTTCTGCGCCCTGCTCGGCTGCCTCTCCACGTCTCGGTAGAGCAGCGACTTCTGCGCCTTGAGCCGGCAGGCCAGGCACATGAAGATGGACTCCACGTTCTGGCTCTCCTGAGGGTCCTTGGCCGAGGTCTCGAAGAGCAGCATGTTGTGAGCGTCGGCAAACTTCAGCGCCATGCTGGAGGGCACCTGGATCAGTTCCTTTAAGTCACACTTGTTGCCAACCAGCACCTTGGGCACCAGAGCGGGCACCGCGTGCCCGTTGCACTCCTCAATCCACATCTTGAGGTTGGTGAAGGACGTCATCTTGGTGACGTCGTAAACGAAGACCACGGCGTGCACGTTGCGGTAGTAGTGCTCTACCATGCTCTTGCGAAACCTCTCCTGGCCGGCCGTGTCCCACACCTGCACCTGCGGAGCAAAGCACAGCGTCCTTGAGGCAGCCCAGCAGGAAGCCCGTGGGAGCAGCAAGATCCACCCCGAGCTGCAGGGCTCGGCTACGCGGGAGCGGGTGGGTTTGCCCGCCTGTGGTGGGATGAGCAGGAGACAGCTACATCTCAAAAGACAGGCCAGGATTGCTGGGTGAGTTACGTAACCTTGGGGACGTGCGGCCGCAGTGCGCAGGACTGTGCGTGGCCGTGCCTGCGCCCCAAAGYTTCCGTAACTCAGGCAGCAAGCCCAGCTCGTTGCACATCAGAGGTCACGTCAGCACCTTGGTTCACCTTCCGCCTTCACAGACAAGCGCAGGGCTCTGCGCAGCACATCCCGTTTCCAGCCACTTCCAGTGCAGTCCGCAATGAGCCGCGCGTGCTCTCGGTCCCGGTGCTCCGCGGAAGGATCGTCGCTGCCCCGTGGCTGGGTCTCGGTGAAAGACATAATTGGCTTTCAAATGCCTTGCCAGGCGTCCCTTCTACAGCATATGGCTGCTAGGCGCTCCCAGCTCCTCACCCTCTTCCTCATGACCATCATATCCCCCACAGAAACAAACCACACCAAACACTTCCCATTTGAGAAATATTCTGGCACCTGATGGGGACATCGATCCGCCCTCAAAGAGAACCCTGACAGTTACCCAGTGTGTCTGTACAGAGGAGACAGGGCAAAGAGACCAGTTTCCCTGCAACTCCAGCCTTTGGTTAACCTCAAACCACCCTTCACCTCACCAAGGTCTGTCCCAGAGCCCTTTAGAGGAGAAAAATGCTCGTCAGAAAGCTGCTGTTCATTGACCAGTTCCCTGCCAACCCTTCACAGGCTGCTTGGTGTGGATGGAGCAGGAGAGGGACAGTACATCCACCGTCTCCTCGCCCTCCTCTTGGCCTGCCCCATTGCACGTGCTGCCAGGAGGCCTCTTTGCTGCACTACCCTCCAGTGCTGCCGGCCACGGCACAATCGTGCAGGGAGGCAGCGAGCCTGGCACCACTCGCAAGCTGCTCGTGGGAAGACGGGCTTCATGCCAGACTGCACCACAGTTAGGTGGTGGTGGATGGAGCTGGGGAAAGCAGGGGGAGWATCAGCAGCTCTTCTTTAATAAAAAAAAAAAAACAGAGAAGTATTTCATGGACAGTATAAAGCATCACTGAATTTCTAGTTCTAACCAACCAATGTTACTCTAATTTCACTATGGTTAGTCCTTCAACTTTTGGTTATCCGTTTGCCAGCAAAGTAGCAACATTTGCTCCTTCCAGCAGCCCCTCTTAAGCACAGACAGCTGTGCTGCTGACCCACGTAATCGGGCAGGCCYGGACCTGCTGCAAAGCACCCTCCTCGAGCCGTTTCGTACTGGCTGCTGTGGACAGCTCTGCTCTGACACAGCCGCCAGAGCTCTGCAGTCCGTGCTGAGGGTTGTTACCAGTGGTCACACACCGCAAACCAGCTCTGTGCTGGTTTGGCCCCAATCATGTCCCTGTGGCGCTTGCCACCAGCAGCCGGCACAGGGCCGTGCCCAGGCTCCGTAGCCCCGGAGCTCAGCCCGCCTCGGCGCTGTCCCGGCATCCCACTTTGGCGCAGGGCTCCTTCCCGCGGCGCCCGGGCGCATCGCTCCGCGCTGCCCTGTACCTGCAGCCGGCCCCGGTGCCGCGGGATGTGTCTGGCGGGGCCCAGCGGCACAATGGCGATGTGCCCCCCCAGCTATTGTTCCGCACTGCCCGCCGGCTCCCGCACGCCGCGCAGCTCGGAGATGATGTCCCCGCGAGAGGGAAGGGGGATGCTCCCGGGGCTCCGCGCCCGCCGCCCACCTTGATGCGCTCCCCCTCGATCTCCACYGTCTTCTCCCGGAAGTCCACGCCGATGGTGGCCTCCGTCTTGTCGGGGAAGGTGCCCCCGCAGAAGCGGAAGGTCAGGCAGGTCTTGCCCACGTTGGAGTCGCCGATGACGATGATCTTGAAGATGCGGGTCTGCACGTAGGGCTCGAGCGCGGAGTCGGGGCCCGGCGGCCGCCCGCCGCCGCCCGCCGCCATCCCGCGCCGCCGCCTCAGCGCMTCATGGGGCCGCGCCGCCCCGCGCCGCCGCGCACAAAGGCTGCGGCTGCGGCGGGCGGAGCGGGATCAGGTGGTCGGTGCGCGGAGAGCGGCCCCGGCCCGGCCCCCAGCCCCGCGGGTGCCCGCCCTGCCCACGCACCCGCTGCACCGCTGTTCCTGCAGCCCCTGCGCTGCGGAGATGCAGGCGATGGCAGAGACACGGCTGGCATCACCACAGACACGGCCAGCGTCCCACCRGCACTGGCACCGACACACGACCATCGTGCTGCTTGTCAGCACAGGGAGACACAGCCAGTGTCACGCCGGGATGGTGTGACATGGGACATGGYTGGTGTCAAGCATGGAGACACGGCTAGTGTCACACCCACATGGCCACAGGGATGTGGTCATTGCCACACCAGTATGAGTGCAGGGAGACAGCTGGTGTCCCGCCTGTCAGGGCACGAAGACACAGCCACCGTCACAGCTGCATGGGCGCTGAGAAGCACTCGCTGCCACCCCAGTGCTTCTGTGTGTACTGAAAGGTGCGACACCGGCTGAGTATCTGTGCCTGTGTTGGTGTGACACCAGCTATGTCTTCATGCCCTAGCACATGCACCAGCACAGACACGGAGCAGGGGGCTGGTGTCCCACCAGGGCACGGAGACACAGCCAGTGTCACACTAACGTGGGTACAGAGTCACGGCAGATGCCACACATGGAGCAGTGGCCACCTGGGCCAGTGGCCATTTGCCCCCTCCCTATGCCTGGCTCCCTATAAGGCCTCCGCACTGAGGAGCGGGATTAGGGCATGGCAGCTTGCCCCTGGCCTCGGGAGACCATGGCCAGTCTTTTTGGAAACGGGATCGCTCTGCTCCACAGGACAGAGCAAATCCCTCACATGGGGAGCCCAGGAAGGACAGGCCGGGTGGCTCCTCATGCCTTGGCAGCCTGTGCCCTGCAGTGTACCAAGCACTACACAGGCCATCTCCCCGGGACAGGGAGGGGACCAGCAGGGCAGGCAAGCAGTGACAGAGCCGAGAGCGGGCTGCGGGACACCAGTTTAAGTGAAGCTCTGGGAACTGAGAGGCAGAATCACCCACGTGCCTGAGGGCTCAGCACTGCCCGGGCAGCAGGTTGCGATGCCAGAAAGATGCTCTTTGTACGTGGCTTTGCAGCCCAACCAGGTACTGCTGCCTTTGGGTCGCAGAGTGCTTGGAGGATGCTCCCAAACGGGCCCAGATAATTTGCCAGAGGTGCCAGGCTGTTCCAGCTGCCCCAGCACAGCAGAGGAATCAGCAGCAGCTGTACAGAGTCTGTGCTTAGAGGGACCATGGAAAGAGTCTTTCCTCAGGGACAGTCCCACACTCTTAGGGACTCAACCCCAATGCCAGCCTCCCCTCAGCAGTTCCCCTTGGGAGCCCCCCCACCAAAACTGAATAGGTGCCACCATCCTTCTCTGCATGGGAACTGCGTGCAATAAACCTTTTCTGGATCAAGCAACCTCATTTACCCCAAACTTTACAGTCTTGTTAAGCCAGGCGGCTTGTTTCTAGCAGACAGGAGTAGCCCAGGTACAATCTCCACCCCTCCACAGCGTGTACACCCCATTCCAGAGGCAAGTCTAACATCTCTGCCCTGTACACACACTTACCTGCCCTCGTGTAGCCGCACTGCCACACGAGGAACAACTCCCAGTGCCGGGAGCCTGTTGCTGGCCACGATGCCACGTGGCTGCTGGCAGAGCGCTCTGCCAGGTAGCATGGTTGCTGTGAATCAGGAAAGCTCCCATGCCTCTGATCCTGTGACTGCTCCACAGTTTCTCTCCCTTCCCTCTGGCCTTTCATCAACTCACAGTCCTTCACTTTTCTGCTCCAGGCTGTTTCAGATGGCTGCGACTGCTATTCCAGGTCTCCTGTTTTTTCATGACACTCAAAGCAGTTTCCTGGAACAAGCAAGTTGGGGAGATGCCGTGTCTGGAAGCGATGGCTGAGGGAATTGGCTTCCATGTTCATGCTCAGATGTCCTTAGCAGAGCATCTGAATTGCTTCTCAGATCTGAGAAAGGAAAAAAAAGGGGTGGGGGGCAAGAGGGAAGGTACAAGTAGGTAGGCAAGAAGGCTCCCGACTAGTGCTTCAGGGCTGTACTRAAAGTGTTCTCTATTTTGAGGGGATAAATATTCACCTAAACACTTTTAAATGTTTCTTGAAAGACAGCAGGAAACAACAGCATCCATTTTTATGCCCTGGGGGCATCTTCATTTTTCTCTGCTATGAACTAAGCTATGCAGGWGTCCCTCCAAGTGCCAGAGGAGCCTTCCTAGCAGTTGGCCCAGCTCTCACAAGTGACCTACTGACGGGTGTCTGCACCCCAATTCATGCGGACTACATCAGTTTCCCAGGCAGACCAGTACACCCCTGCTCAGTGCTTTTCTTTTCAGCCCACCCACTTTACATCACCACCAAGAGATGAGAGGAGCTTACAGAAAATAAATACTTTACAAAGACAATACATGCAGGGATTTCCTAGAGGCTTTTATTTACAGGAGCTATTTGTCAGAGACTAGAGAACTCTTGTTTTCCACCTGAGACTGTCTTGTCTTCTCCAGCCTGTGAAACAAGATGCCCGTGTCAGGTCCAAGCTGTCTCCCTTCAAAGGGACAGGGCTTCCCATTGTAACGTGGCAGAAACGTCAAACCTGACAGACTTCGCTCCTCTGGCTCAACTGCCAGCCTGGAAAGCAGCYTGTCTGCAGTGCTTGGGATCACAGGCTGCAGGAGAGTCCCATAGACCCGCAGACACTCCAGCGTAACGTGGATGATGGTATCGAGCCAGAGCTTCTCTGCCGGGTCTTTTCGGTCCAGTTTCCAGGGCTTGTGTCTCTGGAAGAAACCGTTGGTTCCCTTTACGCACAGGGCAATACATTCTAAAGCCTTATAGATCTGGAAACCTTCAAAATAATTGGCCACCTGCAGAGGCAGGGAAGCCACAGATGCCACGAGCTCATAGTCCTCAGTTGAAGCCCTTCCCAAGGCTTGTGTCCCATTATAATCTGAAATCTTTGGAAAACAAGACTCCGAGAAACATGGGTAAGTATTGCTGGGGTTGATGCTGAGAGCCGTCGAACGATTCAGAAGTCCCCCAAGCGCATCTGCCAGTTCTGAATTCACTAACTTCACAACCTTCTCGTCGTAGTAGTCGCAATCCCGCTCAGGAACACCTTGCCTCAGCAGGAAGTACCGAAAACCATCTACTGTGTAGTGCCTAAAACAAGAATCAGGGTCAATGACATTGCCCAGGCTTTTGGACATCTTCTGCCCATGGACAGTCCAGTGGGAGTGCACAAAGATGCGCTCGGGGGGGGCCAGCCCGGCCGCCATCAGCAGCGCTGGCCAGTAGACAGCGTGAAACTTGAGGATGTCCTTGCCCACAACGTGGTGGGCGGCCGGCCACCACTCTCCGTGCGTCTCGGGGTAACCCACCACACTCAGGTAGTTCACCAGGGCATCCACCCAAACATAGATAGTTTGCGTGGAGTCGTCGGGGACAGGGATACCCCACTGCAAGCGGCTTCTCTCGCGAGAGACAGAAAGGTCGGGCAGGTCCTCTTCCAGCCAGCGGAGCACTTGCTGATAGAAAGGAGCAGGGGAAATGACATGCGGGTTGTCCCGGAGCCACTTCTGCAGCGGCTCCTGGAATTCAGAAAGCCTGAACATATAATTCTCCTCTTTGGTCCAGTGCACCTGAGAACACAGGAGAGAAAAGAATTACAACTCAGATGAGGATTTGCACATGGCATTTCTGGTAGGGATTTAGTCACATGATGCTGCATTTGCTGCCCAGCACACATGGAGTCACTAATGTCTTTCTATACCTGGTAGGAACCTCCTCTCCTAAATCCTAASACAGCAGCTTTCTGGGATGACATGTAAACATTTAGGCACTCAGAGAGGCTCAGCACATCCTTAGGGCCGCTTAGCCCTCAGAGAGGCTTAGCACATCCTTTCAACACGCCAGATTTACCTGCCATCGGGCAAGTACTACAGAGATAAGAATACACTTCCTTAAAACCACAGCCATGCAACAACAGCACAGAACCATAGAGAACACAAAATGACATGAGGCACTGTTATAAACTGCCTTGCTAGAGACCAGACAAATATGTACGTATTTGCCCGAGAATCCGCCCTTTTCTTCAGCCACATTAGGTGCTCTGTCAAGAGACATTTGCTCCTTTGTATAGTGAACCAACACCTCCCACGCTACAGTTAGGAAAGGAATAATCTCTGCAATGTGACAACCTGCAACTGCTGGCTTCGATTACTTGATCACCAGCACAGCATTAAGATGTGTGCAGCAGCCTGGCCACGCTGCTACACAACTGCCACTCCAGGTGACAGCATTCCAGGGTGCTGCTCCAGGCCACCMAGCACCTGAGAGGATACAATTGAGTTAAGATGTCTGGGGGTTGAGCTTCACAAACCGGGTCTGAAACTGCATCCATGGGACAAACAGCAYGGTTGTAAACAGCAGCCTTAACCAAGGAGCACCTTTCCCCTCCGCAGCTAACGTCGGTCCCCRCTGCTTTAACCCGCTGCCTCCTGGCAGCGGGGAGCCCTGCCTGGTGACACTGCTGCCACTTGTCACCCAGCGCCCCGGGGATCCCTCTGGCAGCTCTCCCCACGTAAGGACACGYAGAAGAGACGGGTGACGGCGGCAAGTCCCGTCCAGGGTGAACGACAGAGCTCGCGGGGAGCCCCGGGCGGCCCCGTTACCTGGTGGCCGGACTCGAGGGCCACCCTGCGCGCCTGCCCCCGCGCGTCGCGGCGCTCGGCGAGCTGCCCGGCGGGCACGAAGCTCTCCTCGGCCGTGCAGTACCAGCCCTCGTAGCAGCCCTTGTAGAGCGCGCCGCGCCGCCGCAGCGCGGCCCAGAAGTGCCGCACGGCGTGGCGGTGCCGCGGCTCGCTCGTGCGCACGAAGTCCGTGAAGGAGACGGCGGCCCGCGCCAGGGCGCCGCGGAACAGCGCCGAGACCCGCGCGCAGAGCTCCGCCGGGGTCACGCCGGCCGCCGCCGCCGCCTGCTGCATCTTCAGCCCGTGCTCGTCGGTCCCTGCAAGGACGGAGGGGTCAAGGCAGGGCCGGGCAGGGCCGGGCAGGCCCCGCCGCGG